AATGAGGGGGCTTGGACATCTAGCCGACTGCGCCCTTTTCATTTGTCAAGCGGCAACCATGCAATGTCGGGGAACGTCCCTTGACATTCCTACTTGTCAGGTCAAGCTATGGGTGGTTCGCTCATCCCTAGGAGGAAAATACGCCCAAGTCCCCTGAGGTCACTTAACCTCATGAGACCTTAAGTATCCATGAATGCTTAAGCGAGAATGAGGGGGTCTTGGCCATCTAGGTGACCGCGCCCTTTTTATTCCCCGAGCCGCAACCATGCCAAGTCGGGAAACGTCCCTTGACACTCCTATTTATCTGGTCGAGCTATGGGCGGTTCGACTAATTTTTAGGGGGGATTTTCCCTTAAGAAAAATACGCCCAAGTCTCTGAGGTGACTTAACCTCATGGGACCCTAAGGAGCTACGAACGCTTAAAAGGGAATGAAGGGAGCTTGGCCATCAGGCCGGCTGCACCCTTTTCATTCACCAAGCTGCAACCATACCAAGTCGGGGAACGTTCCTTGACATTCCTACGTTTCTGGTTGGGCTATGGGTGGTTCGGCTTGTCCTTAGGGAGATTTTCCATTAAGAAAAACACGCCCAAGTCCCCTGAGGCGACTTAAACTTTTGGGAACCTAAAGAGCCACAAATGATAATGAGGGGGTATTGACCATTTGGGAGACCACGCCCTTTTCATTCACCGAGCTATAACCATGCCAAGTCGGGGAACGTCCCTTGATATTCTTACTTGTCAAGGTCGAGCTATGGGTTGTTCGACAAGTCCCAAGGGAGATTTTCTCTTAAAAAAATATGCCTTAGTCCAAGGAGGCGACTTAACCTCATGGGACCCTAAGCGGGAATGAGGGGGTCTTGGCCATCCGGCCGGCCGTGACCTTTTCATTTGCTAAACTGCAATAATACCAAGTCGGGGAACGTCCCTTGACATTCCTACTGGTCTGGTCAGGCTATGAGTGGCTCGGCCCGTTCTTAGGGGGGTTTTCCCTTACGAAAAATACACCCAAGTCCCCTGAGGCAACTTAACCTCATGGGATCCTAAGGAGCCACAAACGCTTAAGAGGGAGTGAGGGGGTCTTGGCCATCCGACCGACCGCGCTCTTTTCATTTGTCGAGCCACAACCATGCCAATATATCATATCTACTGTCCTTGATCTCCCCTGCAAGATAAATATTTGATTTCGGGGGTTTGTCATGTAGGCCAAATACTTGGGAGAATGTGTGTATAGCTTTGTCAAGGATAGAGACTAATCAATGTTTCCCCTAGCAAACATCATAACATCATCAGCAAAAGCAATGTGGGTGATTCCTTGTGTGGAACATCTATGATGATAACTAAATCTGTTACCATAAAGCAACCTTATAATCAATCTTGAAAAGTACTCCATGCATAACAAGAAGAGGGTGCGGGTCATGGGGTCACATTGCCTTATTCCTCTCTTACATTTGATGAACCTATGCAACACACCATTAATAGAAAGGGAGAAAGAGGTCATAGTAACACATTTCATGACCCAACTAATGAACTTGGAGGGAAAGCCAAAACCCTTCATAGTGTTCTTTAGAAAATTCCAAGCAATCGTGTCATAGGCTTTCTTCCCTGGATAAAAGCTGCCTAAGCAAGGTTTATGAGGTTAGGAATTGAAGGAGCGTAGCCATTCTATTGGACAGAATCTTGGTGATGATCTTATAGACCATATTGGAGCATGCAATAGGTCTATATTCTTTGGCTCTTGGGTTCTCTTTAATCTTGGGGATGAGAACAATTGTGGCATGGTTAAGTTGTTTGAGAAGTCTACCACTAATGAACAACTCATAAATTTCCTCAAAAAGAGTATTGCCAACCAAGTTCCACTTCTGCTTGAAGAAATCTGCTGTGTAACCATCTGGCCTTGGAGCTTTGTCATTCCTAATAGAGAAAAGTGCCTCCTTGACTTTATTTATGTCCACTGCCTTGGTCAAGTTGAGTGCCTCATCCTGTGGGACCAATGTTTCTTATATGAAAACATTCCAGTCAATGGATGTAGTTGGGATTGTGTTTCCAAAGATAGTATTAAAGTATCCCAGGAACTCTTTCACAATGGTATCCAAGGAAGTGGTTGTGCCCTGATCAGTGACAATGAAAGGTATAGAGTTCATGGTTGCTTGCTTCTTCACAAGAGAGTGAAAGAAATTTGTACACTTGTCACCATCATTTATTAGATCACATCTGATTTTTTGTTGGAAGAAAGCCCTCACTAAAGAAGGAGGCTTTCTACCTTATGAGGCCAACTTCAGCAAAAAGAGATGGGTTGTTCGAGTAAATGATGAGTTGGCCCATGATATCAGAATAAGTGCTCCTTGCTTTCTCAGCTCTGGATTATATGTTCCCGAACTCTCTCTTATTCAGTTATCTCAAAGGATGCTTTAGCATTTTGAGTTTCTTGCAAAGTCTGAATTGTCTGGTGCCTATCACTTTAAAATCCCAAACATCTTTCACAATTCTGTCAAAGGCCTCGTGTTGTACCCACATGTTGAAGAACTTGAAGGGTTTTGGTCCTTGAGTAGAGCTCTGAATAAGATGAAGCAAGACAGGACAATGGTGTAACACCCTAATTCGTCCAAGTCTGCAGCCCCATTCGGACTAAAGTATTTAACTTGGTAATCATAAAATTTAAAAATTTTCAAACACACTTTATTAATCGCAATAATATTTTTCATAACATATACAGTACGGAGTATATAACAATATTGCAAAAGTGAATTTAATACTGACATATCATAAATCATTTCAAAACTTGTCACATCCATCCCGACAATCTCGCCCCATCTGCCGCCATGATCACATTAATCTTTCTGTTTACCTGCGTGTAGCAAATAAAACACACTACACGCTCAGCGGTGAAGCTAAGTAAGCATATCCAAGCGTCGAACATCCACATAAATTGAATCTCAATTCATAATCAACCATTTGATATCATGCACACAATATATGGTTCAAACATTCATAATATTTTCCATATTTTATTCCAATTCATTTGATATTCAATATCTCAACCATGTTCTTAAATTATTCTTAATCTAAGGCCAAATCATTTTCTAACAAGCTCTTAGCTATTCCTAGTCTAAGGCAACATTTCTAACCAGGCCCTTAAACTATAAATAGTTTAATGCAGAACACAAGAATCTATAATCCACCCTATGAGTCATGTGGATTACGTACCAACCGAACAATGATTTGTCGGGTGGGTGATATCCGTTCTGGATCCCGTACGTACGTTTTAAGCCCGAAATATGAATTGGTCAAGGAGGTATATCTTAGAGTTCTTCTAGATATCCTTAATAATCATCATCATTATACAAGTGGGTATATCTTAGAGTTCTTCTAGATATCCTTAACAATATACATCATTTTCATAATCATCATTATATCCATTTTTAATCATGAATTAATCAATAATCATACTAATCAGTAGATTAATCATTCATAATTGGCCACAATAATAGTTCATCATAATGATCAATCAACATAACATTTAATAACAATTAGCGGCCTAGTCTCGAGTATTAACACCCGAACTTACCGTCATACATCACATAATGTTTTAATTTGTTAAAAACATCATTTTTGTTGTGAATAATCATTTTTATAATAATCATAATCAATTGGTATCAAAAAATAGGATTTTAGAGCTCAAAAATAGCAATTTCAGACAAATTTTCGGACTAGAGTTTCGGAAGATCGATCCAGCCCTCTAGATCGATCCAACTAGAAGAAAAAACTCCCAGAGGATCGATCCAATGAAGGGGATCGATCCACTCTGTGTATTTTCAGCCACTGTTCATTCGTCTTCAACCTCGTTCCATTTTTTGAGAAAACCATTTTTAGTCACCGAACTTCAATTAAACTATATAGAGATGTTCTCCAAGGTTCATAGATCATATTAGAATTATTAAAACATATTTTTAACATCACATTCAAGGTTTATGATTCTTGGTTCTTCAAACATGTCAAACACAAAACTCAACCAAATGACCATTTATGAACGTAGAAACGACCTATATGAACATTCTAGTCATTAGATATATCTACGGGCTTACCTTGAAGCGTAAGGAAGGTTTTGAAGATTTTTTGGCGAAACTTCCGGCGAAGATTGTGGCTTGCTCCGGCGACTTCATACCAAATTGACAGCACAACTTCGTTCTCCACACTCACAGCTTTCTCTCAGAGTTTATTTGAAGTAGAATGGTGAAGGAATGAGGGAATTAGCTTCTCCTTTTATAGGGAAGATGAAGAAGGAAACAAAGTCTGAGTGGATGCTGCGTAGGAAATTCACGTTCTTCTTTCGGCGATAGTGCGACTTAAGGAGACTCAGCACGTTACTCTCTGATTGGAACTAATTTGGTCTGAGTCAGGGTATACTTTTCGGTCCAACTTTCTCCGAATTGAAATCCGTTTGCACCGTTGCGATCAGACAGTCGAACTCTATCCAATGATATAATTTTTATATTCATTCGTTATACTTTTTCCGACACTACATTTTTGGGTGTTTGGCTTTAACAGAGTCAAAATTGGTTTAATTGACCTTTCTCATAAAAGGTTCTCTCATTTAATTCATATCAATTATTCTCATGATTTATTTCAACAAATCATTTCAATATTTACATTCTAAACAAATTCTTTATTTACTCTTGATTTGGGTCTGTACTCAGGTTCCCAATCAAGACCACACAAATAGTCCACATATTGGATTTATCTCTATGAGACTTATCCAGATTTTGATATTAGATGTCAAAACAAATTTCGTATCGGCCCAAAGCCCAACAATAATTTA